AAAAAAAAACTTTTTATTATTTAGTGTTACTCTTACTAGAACTATGTGTATCATGCTGCAAAGAATAATTTTAAATTTTGAAGCAGATGGTGATACCAAGGTTATAAACTGTATATAAAGGTCACACTTTCATTTTCAAGTCTCGACTGGTAGTTTTGGCTCTTGCCATCTTTTTTTAAAACCAGATATGATTGTATTTAGATAGGATGGTAGCGCTGGGGAGTTACTGGATTATGCAAGGTCAAGGTGCAGGCACAGTGAAATATTAAACTGGAAAACCTTGGTCGGGAAAACCAGCATTACAAAATACTTTCCAAAAGTAAAGAATAAGCAAACTGTTGTTCATTTTATGACTATATATATAAAAAGTTTTTTTTTAAATAAATACACAATACACATATCAAAACAGGCCAAGCAGCATCAATTAAAATAAGATACAGTGTGACTCTATAGTAGGGGTGGGGAAAAAATCGATACTGTGTAGTATGGTGATATTTTGTTTGCTAATAATGTATCGATACAGGGACAGCAGAAATCAATATTTTGTTACAAAAAAAGTTTTTGTGCTCTGACTTCAGAGCATGTTGATCCTTTTTCTGAGCAAGAGAAAGGGGCCACAATGCTCTCTATTATGTTAATCCTGCTCAGAATGGTAGATGCAACTGTTTGTCATTGTAAGATGTGAGTTAAATTAACTTTGATGTGGCATTACGACATCTTTTACAGTAACTAAATCCTCAGTCAATAGAATATCAGTCAATATTCTACTAGTAAATAGAATATCTCAGTGATTGTGAGGTAGATGTGTGGTGTTTTCTTTCTCCAGAGTTAATTATAATCAGAAGTGTCTTTGGGCATGCCTCCTGCATGTTTGTTTCTTCTGTCTAATGCATCGAACATCTGGCTGAGCTTCTCAACAAGCCAGCTGTTCATTTCCAACAGTGAGTATCAGTCTGACGTAGCCCACAGCTCAGCATATTGTTTAATCCACATCTTTGCTGGAGGCTTTGTGTGTTTAATGATGGAACTGCAGATAATGAATTCACAGTGTTCCGCTCCCTCTCTTGACCATGAAGGATAAGTCTGAGCAGAAGTGCTCGCTGTGACTCCAATCAGAAGGAAGCGAAATGAATTTGATCGACTGCGTTTGACTTGACACTCGATTCTATTTGACCTCAGTGTGCCCGTCTGTCTCTTTGGATGTGTGTGTGCATGTATTGCAGGTGGCTTTGTGTTTTTCTCCAGTTGGCAGCAAACTGAGGGTTCGCAGCAGGAAGTTCCCAGCAGTAGTCAACTGCACAGCGATCAACTGGTTCCACGAGTGGCCACAGGAGGCTCTGGAGTCGGTCAGCTTCAGGTTCCTCGAGGACGTTGAGAATATCAATGTGAGAACAGTTCATAATCGAATACAGTGAGGTGAAGCTACTCACCTAAATGATTTTCACACTCTGATGATATGATTTCAAATGTCAACCACCATGACAGAGCGAATGTGATATTCATTTAAGAGTACCAGAGGCCCCTGAAAATTAAATTCCAAGCCTGAGCCTCAAGAAATATTACTCTATATCTAAATCTGCCCAGTTATCTGCTTTTAATGGGAACTAAACAGTTGTAGGACTTTTCATTCCCGCAGCCCCAAGTGAAGGAGTCGATCAGTAAATTCATGGCTTATGTCCACATGAGTGTCAATCAAACGTCGAAGGAGTACCTGGCCAATGAGCGGCGCTACAACTACACCACGCCCAAGTCGTTCCTGGAGCAGATCAAGCTGTATCGCAGTCTGCTGGGCCAGAAGAGCAAAGAGCTCACCAACAAGATGGAGCGGCTGGAGAACGGACTCCAGAAGCTCAACAGCACCTCTGCTCAGGTATTCATCTACACTGTGTTTTGGTCAGTGTTCACCCAGCTGAACTTCACTGTGAGACATGTTCACAGTTTGACACTCCGGGGGTTTTAGGTTCATGTGCTGAATTACGGCGTCTGTGACATGCAAGCTGATATGGTTTAAAATAGGGGTGGGTTTTGATAATCGATGTATTGACTAAAATCGATTCTGGCTTGGATAAC